CACGCACGCACGCGCGCGCGCGCACGCACGCGCACGCACGCACACACACACACACACCCCCCCACACACACACACACACACACACACACACACACACCAGAAAACATCCTCATTCCTCTGGACCGATGATGGTGACATGTGCAGTGGTTCTATGTTTATATTTGTTTTTTGCTTTTGGATTATGGAAACTCAAAATCACACAGGGAAGAAAACAGACAGAAAACCTGAAGTGAGAGAAAAGAGGAGAACATTTACCAAGAATGATTTTGATTTTTAATACATGTTCTGTTTCTGAAATCAAGTGAACAGGAAGTGATGAATGAAAATTGCTTCTGCAAGTGATGAATGTAATCTTGTTTTTTAATAAATTACTGCCCCACTGGGCCACAGTAATATCCTCACTGGGTGATGTGTGTACTTCCTTCTTGTAGTGATTAGAAGCTGCTCAATAAACAGCAAAGACGTTTCTCAGTGAAGATAATGAGTCATTTCCAGGAAACAGTAAAGACAATCTGATGAAGACTGAAACAAGCAAACACATCAATTCTCTGGGTTTCACTTACAAACATGGAATCGATTAGCGGAACGAATCGGGCCGGTTATCAGGATTCAGGTTTTCAAAATGTTTGACAAAAACACCAAGAGGTCCAGTCATGTTGATACTTTGCCAAAAAACATGTCACCAGAATTTTCTCTAGGTATAAAGACTATGTCTGCTCTTTCTCCACTTGTTGCTGCTCATTGCTAGTCAGCTGGCTGAAAGATTTATTTATTTAGCTTAAATAAATAAAGTTTAATGACTCTTTTAGTCATTAACCTGAAGGAGAACCAGGCAGGTGAGGTCCAACCTGCAGTGGGAACAAGCTCAAGCTTGAGCCTAGCGAGTGCTTTAGGTACACAAGGTGGATCTCTCCTAAAAACATCCAATCACTCCTCACTCCTACTAAAGAAAGCATCTCATGACAGCCTTAAGCAGATCCACAACACCCAAACACTCAGCATCTCAGTTTGGGTTAAAAGGCAAAACCCAAAGTAATCCAAGGTCCAACAGTCAGCCAGCCATCTTTCCAACTCCCTACAGTAAACTTGTCCAGAGACAGAAGTGGGATTCACAAAAATAAAGAGAAATTAAATCACCCTCATTGTTTCATCACTAGAATAATTATATTTTCTTCTCAACTGCAACACAATGATGTTTGCAAGTAAAACCAAGTTTTTGGACATGTTTTAGTCAACCATTTAGACTTTTTTTTATTCTGCACGAATGTTTTTAGAGTTAAATGGGCCACATCCCATTCAAAAGGTGTTTTCTTTCAGAGATGAATGTTTCCATGAGTCCAACTTTTCCCAATATTTATTTTATTAGGAAAATAAATACTGGCTAAAACGGCATTACGCTCAAAGGGTAAGTTGTGGAGAAGTTCGTGGACACTCTGTTCTGGGAGTGACAAAAAGGATAAAAACAAGAGTTCTGGTTGTAAGAAATCAAAAACATAATAAAAAGAAATGATGAAACATAATAGCAAACGGCGTGAGAAACTAAAGGACATGGTAGGAAGAAAGGAAATGAGCTAAGAGAAATGTGCTGGAAGGAGAGTAAATCAAAGGAAGATAAAGATCCAATAAAATCCCAATGGCCTGGAATATTAGGTCAAAGATAAATGAGACAGTGGGAGGCTGAAGCCCAGCGAAGCACAGAGTTCAATGCAGTGCTGGCTGAACAGATAATACATGGGAGACGGGACGGGAATATGACTGTTTTGTGGGGAGAATACAAGCAGCATGAGGACTGTGTGGGGGGGTGCATTTCCATTTCCATACCTGCTGTTTCCTCCGGAGCAGACGCAGAGCGACACACCAGCAGAGACATGCAGCTGCAGGCAGCAGAGCGCCTCCCACTGAGCGCAGCCACCCAAACAGAGGTCTGGAGAAAAGAGGGAGTTTCTGTGGTCCGGCTCTCTGCTGCAAGCAGATATTCAGGCTTTGTGATTAACGGTGGAATTAACTCTGCTGTTAGAAAAAAATGTTGGAACACTGGAACTGGTTTTAATAATCTGCCAGTGGAACTTTTTAAATTAATATTAAGAAATTATTGCATTTCAGAGACCGCTATATCTTGCTGAAAAGTTAGTAAGTAGGTTTCTCCTATTTCAAGTGCACCAAGATACTTGCACTAGACCAAAAATATATTAATATTTAGTGTTTTTGTGGTGCACAGAGGTTCATTCACTGATACATTACATATAATCTATAGCAGGATAAAACTGGTCTGTGTTCTGAACAGACCAGAACAGAATTATCCAGCCACGTTTGTGACCAGTACGCAGAGAGAACGCTTTATTCTCTGTGTGAGAATAAGAACAGATGAGCTGAAAGCCCCGTCCTGTTGGGTCTGACCCAGCTGGTTGTATTTATTTAAACCATTGAGTCATAGTTGACTTTTCACAGATTTCTTTCTACTTAAACTGTTCTTAGAAAAGTATTCATACCCCTCTGTAGGGCTTCCCCTCTGAGTGAGAGGGAGCCTGAAAAGTATCCATTTTAACTCCCTTTGAGTTAATTATTCACCTTTCCTCAGTTTCCCTCTGTTGATCTCTGTCACAGCTGTTTCACATCCTCCTGATTAGCTCACCTGCAGCCGTTTCTTTCCCTCTGTAGATAAGCTCTCTGGTTGTCACTGTTCATTGCTGGTTCTTCACTCTATGTTCTCTTTAAGCCCTCAAAGTTTTTCTGGTTTCTTGATTAAACTCTGCAGCACGATCATTCCAAGTTCATGTCTGCATTTTGGTCCATTTCTTAAAATGTGAAACTAATATTATACATAACCTTAACCCAGGAAACCAACCAGACCACGCTTATAATTAGGCATGAGAAATTAGTTAGCAATTCTAAAAAGTGTTTCATGTTTTTAATAGTGGAAAACATAAGTTCTAAGTGTGTCAAACCACAGCAACAATTATTCCTTCATAGAGAAGCAGAGCGTTAGCAGAGAAGGCAGACTGAAGGGAGCTGCACTAACAGGGTTTCTGCTTCGTTATTGGCATTGTAGCTGTGACAAATCCTCTATGTAATAACATCCCAACGTTCCTCAATATCCAATTAAACCATCCAGACTTCAGAGCAAGGGGACTGCTGCTTAAAGGTCGACTGTCACTAACAGGGACTGCTGACAAAAAGTACAAGTTTAACAATATCTAAGCTGCTGTGTTGAACTGCAGGGCTGCTCTGGAGCGGCTGCACCTTCATCACATGTCCACAAGCAGAGAGGAGGAAAAGTTGATCCTTCATGCCTAGAAGAAACTGGCTTCTGGGAGAAACTATTCATAAAGTAAGATTATGTTGAAGCTTACACTGGAATGTAATACAACTAGAATTACAGCAAAGAGAAAGTTGAAAATGAAAAAGGCCCAAGAGGACATCAGTCCTGTCATTCGTCTCATTCCACCCAGCAAGGATCATTCTGTCAAATTTCACAGCAGTAGCTCACCTGAATGAAGGGCTCAGGGTCTGACTGGCTGCGCTCCAGCTGCAGGACTGCAGTGGCTCTGGGACGAAGCAGAAACATGAGGAGCTTTTTGGACAGCAGGAGGAAGAGGAGCAGGAGGAAGAGGAGCAGGAGGAAGAGGAGCAGGAGGAAGAGGAGCAGACCTTCGTTCAGCATCGCTGAGCGCCACACAGACTGATGCTCATTTCTCAAATGATCATTTAAATATACATAGAGCAAGGTGAAAGTATTCATATGTTTGAACTTGATATTTTATTACATTGCAACAGAATATTAATGTAATTTTCCTCAGAGTTTTGGTGGAAGATGGACACAAAGTCGTGCATAAACATGAAGTGGAAGGAAAAAAAAACATTTTCTTTTTCTCACTACAAATAATGAAAAGTGGTATTTGTATGTACTACCTTAGGCCAACATATTGTTGAATTCTCTTGTGCTGAAATTACAACTGTACATTGTTTATAACACAGCTTTACCAGGTTATGATTACAAACTAGGGAATTTTTTTTCAAAATATTAAAATATGTTAAATTTTACACCTATGTGGTGCTTCATCCACATGGTAACAACAGAAACAATGATTACTGTTGTCATGTTAAAGTTGCTCCAACAATAAATGGTCATCCTAAAAGCAAACTGTGTTTAATGGATGGTTGAGTCGAGATATTAGAAATGATCCCATAATTCTGAGGTTTAAAACTGATCTGTTTGATTTAACGTCTTTTGAGCTAATTTAAGATATTAAGGAGCAACATTCACTTGTCCTACATTCATGTCTGATCTTAGCTAGAATCAACAAAATAGGCACAAACCCTGAAGCAGATCAGTAGAGAAGAGGTGGAGAGGTTCTAAACAAATCTAGATCTACGGCCATTTCTCATTTCTAAAACCTTCCTCCTGTTCAAACTGAAATCAAATAGAGAAACTTTATAACAATACTGGTCCTCACCTCTTGGGAAAAGCAAAACAGATACAGGACTGAATCTTTAGAAGCTACAGATATGATTCACATTTTCTGCTTATGGTGGAATATAATTTCCACTACAGAAAACTCCTGTTATGAAAATCATAACTGTCTGCATTTATTAGACCTGGAGACATAAATTGGCTTCTATCATTTCAGATAATTATTGTTTGGCTGGAATGAAAAACCCCAAACATAATTTGTTTGTTTTCCCAAAGTTTGGAAAGTGTATTTGCAATGTTGCAGTCGGGTTCTGCAGGTTGCAGGAACCCCTAGGACTGGAGTGGCATGAGGATACTGAGCACTGAAAGAGTAAAATTTGCTACTCAGTGAAGAACTCTCACATTAAGAATTTTTAAAAAAAATATTTCATTTTTTTGTGAAATCATTGGCATCCCAGGTATTAATAATTCACATTTCTCTCTTTTGCCAATAACAGATCTTTGTGTTTGTTCCTCTGTTGAGACATTTCAGAAGGTTGAGACAAGAAGAGAGCAGGATCTGTGATCATTCCTCCACAGTTTCTTCAGATCAGCCAGAGTCCTTGGTTTCTTCACTTCAGCCCACATGCTTAAATTATAGATGATCTGGAGTCAGGGACTCAGGTCGCATTAGATGCTGTTGGATTTGTCTTTGAAGAGTTTTTGCATTGATATAGTCAAATATATTACACTGTTTTCCTGGGAAGAGACCAAGGAAAGACTCATTTTCAGCTCTGCTTATTTTTTAATTCAAATGTTCTGCTATTTAACCTCCTGCTGTGAAGAGTTCATGATCCTGTTCACTCTAAAGCTGAGCAGGAACTGTCTCTGCAGAATTTGGTTGTGATGAACTTTTAGTTTTAATAGATTTCCATAATGCATTGTGGCTTTTATTTTAAAAGGTTGGTGACAAAATCTGCCAGTATTCAACAACCAGTAGCAGAAGAAGAGCCTGGCATAAATATGCTCCTAAAAGATTTTTTTGTTTGAAAGTGTTACTTTTTCCTCTGTTTTCAGCATGTTGAATGAATTATTTCCTCAAACCATGCATATTCTTAAATGCTGTCAGACTGCTGATCTCTCTGTTTCGGGAGCATCACTCATGCTGCTTATGAACCACTGAAAACACAGGGATGTGCAAGACCACCTTCAGGAAACAGTGCATGACCGTCTGTCACTGGTCTCCATTCATGAGGACAGAAAAGATAAATAGAAACCTGCCATAATACGATTCTGAGCCTCTAGAAGGAAAGTACAGCCTACAGAATAATTTATCTGCACTCAACAGTGACCATGACCCATGATCATCTTTCTTCCACACAGATCATCTGACTTTCATTTAGCCTTGGTAGCCTGAAGATGTGTTTTGCTTCCCTTACAATCCTGCTGCTTCTTTGCAGTGATGGCAGTTACTTTGACTGCTGACTACTCTTTGAAAGAGTTACTTAGTTAGATTACTGATTACTTGATTTGGAAAGTAACTAACTTTCATTAAAAGTAACGTTTTTAGTTATTTTCAGCAGATCTTGATCTTATCAATGAAGAATCGAGATATGTGCTCATATTCTAATGATTTTCAAAATCAATATGCATAATATTTGGGTTTCCAGCATTTCTTGTTTGTAAGTTTTGATTTTATTTTCCAACCTTTTTTATTTTGAAGTGTTGATTTTCTGAAAGACTTTTGATTTGGCCAGTATGGGGAATGAACCTATGACCTCAGCATTACTAGCTCTGACCAGCTGAGCTAACCAGTCATGCATAATGTTGAGGTTAAATAGATTTAAGAGAAACTGACATGATCTCAACACTGAAGAATTTAGAAAAGTACTCATATTGTAATGGTTTTCAAAATCAACATGCATAATATTTAAGATTCCAGCCTTTTTTATGTGTTAATATTTTTTTAAAGACCTTGAATTTTAATTGGCCTGCATAGGGAATTGAACCCATGACCTCAGTATTACTAGCACAATGCTTTGACCAGCTGAGCTAACCAGACACACAAAATGTTGAGTTTCCATCAAATGCCCTTATAATATTTTTCAAAATCAACATTCATAATTAATTTTCCAGCAATTTTGTATTTTACATTCTTTTATTT